ACTGTGTTTGTGGCTGGAAAGAGGAACCAGCCGCCACGCACAGCCCTGACAGTGGCCTGCAGAAAACTGTATAATAGACTTAGAAGATGCCTGAGTCTTCATGGACATGGCTCCAGAGAGACAAGGATGTTGTGACTCTTACTATTCTAATTGCTACAGTTTGTCTCTGCCAGGTCACAAGCCCACCTCCACAGAGGCAAGAGGGAACCGGACCACAGACGAAGTGGCCTGGAAGGCTGCCCTGGAAACCAGTGGGGCCTCTACAGATTCTGGTGGGTAAAGGCTGAAATCCATAACTAATTTTTACTCAAGTTCTTACAGGCTTTACAGTCTATCCAGAAAGCAATCCAGAAGCACATCGGAGATGTTCTGCCTTCCAACCTGGTGACTCTGTTTGGGTAAAGACCACCCAAGGACTGACTCCTACCTGGAGGGGACCACATACCGTCATCCTGACCACCCCCACCACTTTCAAGGTTGCAGAACTGAACACCTGGTACCAGAAACACCCCCTGCGGATTCGTTGCTCCACAAGGCTAAAAGAAGCTTGTGGAACAAGGAGGGTGGGGGAATAAGGAGGAAACTGGTCTTGCAAGGCGTGTCAGGCCATAAAAACTGTGAACAATGCACTGCCCTGGATGGGCGAGGGGGGTGGGGAGTGGGTGTCGTTATCGCTGGCCCCAGGACAGATCATCGGATATGGCCTGGGGACCCCCAACAGCTGGGGGCCTTCCTGTAAGCCCATGAAAGGGGGCGGAACCATATCTGCAGACAAAGACCCCAGAAGGTTATAAAAAGTGATGATCCCATCATACTTCTGGAACCAGCGCATGGCCTCCTCTTTGCTGACTCCTGTCCTTGTTTCTTGCCTGCGATGCTGAAACTTGGCCTACCCAGCACCTTATAAGCCAAAGGAAAAAGTAGGGAGCAAGACAGGAAGGGCAGGGAGCCTGGGATCTCAGGATGGGACAGGGCCCCGGGCCTGGGAGCCTGGCCCAGGCCCTTCAGAGGCTCTTTGACTTTCCTGGTCTCCTGCCAGAGAAGAACAGGGTCAAGGGTGGGTGAGCTGCTCAGACAGACAATAGTTCAAGTCTGTGGTTCTGTGGGTGAGTGCAAGGCTGGGCCTCAGTTTCCTCATCTGTAAAATGGTAATAATTCTTCCTACGCTATAGGGCTGTTGTGAGGACTTTAAGGGATAATGGGAAGTTCGAGAGTAAAAGGAACCGCCTGGCACCAAATCCCAGCTCCTCCACGAGTTCTGCACATGCTTCCACCTCGGGCCTCGTGGAGACAATGGTGGTACCCACCTCAGAGCGCTGGTGCAAGGAGTAAGTGGACCAATCCACACAACAGCACTTACAGTGGGCCCACTAAGTGCCATAGGAGCATGTGGCATCATCATTCTCATGAAAGCCTGGCGCACAATAAGGTCTCAATAAATGTAAACCAGCACAACACAACACCTACAGCGATTTGCTATTATCCAGTCACTCAGCTAAGACTCCCTCCCTACTGGTCCCCTCAGATGCTGTCTGCCACCTTGGCCAGGGTAATACAGTGATTAAAAGCCAAAGGCTGGACCACAGAAGTGGGTTCAAATTCGACTCTGTCACCTTGCTGAGTGGCATTGCTTGCTGTGTGACCTTGGGCAAGTGAACTCACCTCTCTGAGCTTCCGTTTCCTCCTACCTTCCATGGGGTAATAGAATATGATAATAGAAATAGAATATGATCCTGTAAAATCACTTTCTATTATAAAGTAATTTATAGCTAATATAATAAAATATTCATAAACATGAATAATCCACATAATTGTTATTTATAAATGTAACATAAAAAGTACTTAATATGTAATTTGAATAAGATAACAGCATAAATCCTATATAATAAAAGCCTAATATGCTAAGTGTTATATAAATAGCATATTGGCCATTCAACCAATCAAAGCGTAATATGCTAATGATATGCTAAGGCTGCTTGACCACTTGCTCTGATGTGCACTAACCACCAGGGGTCAAATAGTCAACTGGTCAACAATCACTATGATGTATCCTAACCACCTAGACACTCCACCAGTAGGTTAGCTTGCTGCTGGGTTCTGGCCAATTGGGACTGAGCGACAGGGGTGGGACACACCCTGGAGCCCTCCCATGGTCCTTCCCCTGCTGGTCAACTTCCCACATCCCTCCATGGCCCCAATCATGCACTGATGCGATCCCTTGGTCTGTCCTGCGCCCTCTCGCAATCCAAGCTGAGGGACCCTACCCCAGTGCATGAATTTTGTGCACCGGGCCTCTAGTAAATATATAAAGCATGAAATATACTGCCCAGCACATGGTAGTTGCTTAATAAATAGGAGCTATTGCCCTAGCGAGTTTTGCTCAGTGGATAGAGCATCAGCCTGCGAACTGAAGAGTCACAGGTTTGATTCTGTTCAGGGCATATGTCTGAGTTTCAGGCTCGATCCCTAGTAGGGGGTGTGCAGGAGGCAGCTGATCAATGATTCTCTCTCATCATTGATGTTTCTATCTCTCTCTCCCTCTCTCTTCTTCTCTGAAATCAATACAAATATTTTTTAAAAATAAATAAAAAAGAGCTATTGTGGGTATTCTTATAATGATTTTGAGACCCTGGACCTTGGCCTGGCCCTGCCCCAGACCAGATCTGGATCCTTCTCCCTCTTTTCCTTCCAGGACCTTGTGAAATCTAATCTCCAGCTGCTAACTTCCCAGGTCCTTGACCTCAAGACACAGAAGCCCCACCCTCGCAGCTCTGCAGGGGCCCAGACTCAGGGATGGAGACATGGTAGTGCAGCTCGCTTAGACCTTGGATGCAGTTACCTGGAGTCCACCTGCCCAGGCTTCAGACAGATGGTGACGTGGGTCAGCAAGGAGACCTGGAGAGGGAGGCAAACCAGGGACAGGAACACAGGACCCATTGGGCCACAGCAGATCGCAGCACCCCCAATCCAGGCACACACACACGGGCAGGGGGAGGGACACTCCTTCACACAGTCAGCGACTGGTGGCCACCAAATCTCATTGGTGACTATGCATTGAGTGTAGGCACATGCTCGATACACAGTCCCAGAGAAACATAGTCCCAGACCATGTCCCCCCACAGAAACACACAGCCACCATCACCCACAAGCCCCAGCCCCCAACCACTCCCACCCTACACCCCATGAAATCTCAAACTCGAGAACACACTGACATGTCCATGTGAGGACACACACAGCATGTTCACCCCAAAGCAATTTCCTCGCTGTTTATTAACACAAATGGGACAAATTGTAGAAAAATAAATAACTCCAGTTTACACATTTTTTTTCTTCAAATGGAAGAATGCCTGCCCTTGACAAACCCATGAGCCCTGGAGAAAGTCAGACGGTAAATCAATGCATTTGAACACAATATAAACAGAGTTATAACAGAGGTATTGCAAAGGACTCTGGGAATGCAGTGGGAAGAATACCCTGGTTTGGGTTTTGTTTTTATCCCCTGATATATTTTGGTTCATATAATAAGAAAAAAAAATCCTTGATTTGACCAGACCGTAAAAAAGGAGATGGATGTATATGTGAAATTGCCACTAGATGAAAAAAGAAAGTACTAGTCTCAATCAGGGTAGTACCTGAGCATAAACATGATAGGTGGCATTAATTTAAATGAAAATGCTGTCTGTTGCATAAATATAGGAAAATATTCAATCAGTGCTTAAGTTCATGCTGGCTCATCAGAACTCAGTACTCACACTTCTGCAAGGATGTCCCTGCAAGGGGTTATTTCAATGGGATTAACATGATCCTCCAAGGCAGCCATAACTGTGTGGCTTGGAAACAGTGGTCCTCCAAGTGTGGTCCCTGAACCAGCAGCATCAGCATCCCCTGGGGACTCCTTGGAAATGCAGGTGCTGGGCCCCACCCAGTCCTACTGAGTCAGAAGTTCTAGGGATGAAAGTCCAACAATCTGAGTTTTCACCTGCCCTCCTAGTGACTCTGCTGCACGCTTGAGTCTGAGAACTTCTGGGTTCAGGCTTTGGTCTTCTAAAGTTTCATATGTCACTGGTTATTACATCTAGAATTTTCTGCGTTGATACCTCAATTTGCTCAGCTCCTATAAAGGTTATTTCATATAAATTTCCTGATTAAAAAATTTTATAAGCAAAAGAAAAAAAGGACATTTCTAGGGTCCCAGGTCGGGAATTCTTATTAGACAGTGCCTGGAATCCAAATCCCCAAATCAGCTCCAACTTCTCCAACATACAGGATAGGTCAGTCATGATCTCACTTCAGGACAGGACCCAGACAGCTTTCTCAGAGACACCTACCTTCCCCAGGTGAGGAGCCTTGTTTCCAAGTTTTCCTCCGTCCCACCGCGCCCCCTTCTGGTCCACGCCACAGCGACTCAACCTTCACTGCCGCAGGTCACTTGGTGGTCAGGGGTGCCGACCTGTTAATGCACGGGTCCCGATTCAGCGTGCCTGGGGTATTCAGGTTCAGCATTTCCTGCA